TGTTGTTGTTGGTGGTGGTGGTGTGTGTTGTTATGTGCTGTTGTTGTTTGTTGGTTGATGATTGCTGATGTTTGTCGTTGTTTGCTGCTGCTGCTGCTGCTGCTGCCGCTAGTATTCTTGGTGGTGGTGGTTGCTTGTGGATTTTGATCTTGGATTGGTGTATGTGGTGGGTGCTGCTTTTGCCGTTGCTTTTGTTCTTGCAGTTGCTGTTGCTGCGGCCGTTGCAGTGGCTGTGGCTGTTGCCTTGTTGTTGCTGTTGCAGCTGTTGACGTTGTCATTGTTGGTGGTGGTGATACTGTTGCTGATCCTGCCTCATGCTGCGCACTGGTGCTGCGGATGATTTGTTGCTTCTGTTGCTTGGTCTGGCTCGTATAAACATGGCTACCATGTAGGTGTCTTCATACCGTCCATGAAACTGCATGGCATAGCTGTTGTTACCGTCATCTTTTCATCTTCATTACCACCATCACCATCACCACCAGCATCAGCAGCATGATCATCAGCATCTTCATCCTCCTCGTCATTGTTTCTGCTGGTGTCGTTGGTGCTGTTGCCGCTAACTCATGGTGCATGTGATATCAATCTGCCGCTTCGCATGTCTCGATTATTGCTGTGCCTACGAATACAAATTATACTACTAAGTACTTCTACCCCTACCGTCAAGGTTACCACCATCATTCGTGACGATCACGGCCTTACTCTAACCACATCATGTTCCGCAAAGTGTTCCCGTAGACCTAGGTGGCACTACGCCGAATCAGCTCAAAACCCAAACCTCTCATGTGTGGGGACCCAGGCTAGTGGCCAGGGTCCAATGACACTACCTGAACCTTAAACTATGGCAACTATGGGCCACAGAACAAAAACCTAAACATCCCCACATCCGATCGCAACCCCAGACCTTGCACCCCGACCTGACATCTCACAGCAACTCCCAAACTGCCAAGCCCTGAACAGCAACGTTGAATGCCACTACGACGTAGTGGCTTTAAAACTTAGAACAGGTCTTTGGGGGATACAAAACCCTAAACCCTAAACCCCTAAACCCTAAACCCCTAAACCCTAAACCCTAAACCCCCAAACCCCAAACCCCTAAACTCCTAAACCCTAACCCCTACCCCCTAAACCCTAAACCCGGCACCTCAAAAAGAGCTTACACGCTTAGGGTTGAGGGTTTAAGGTTTAGGGTTTAGGGTTTAGGGTTTAGGGTTTAGGGTTATGCGGTTGGCAATGGCCCTGGAGCCTGGTCAGGTTCCTCTTGGACGCCTGCCACTTCGTGCCAGCCTCCGGTGTAGGGTTTAGGGTTTAGGATTTAGGGTTTAGGGTTTAGGGCTAATGGCGGTTTGGGGTTCAGGGTTTGGGGTTAAGGGTTTGGGGTTTAGGGTTTAGGGTTTAGGGTTTGGGGTTTAGGGTTTAGGGTTTGGGGTTTCGGGTTTAGATTTTAGGGGTCTAGGGTTTGGGTTTAGGGTTTGGGCTGGAAGGGCTGGGCCGTAAGCGCAGGCTTCAGGATCGATGGCTTCCAGGGCTCTTCGGCTCTGCCTGCGAAATTCACATCCAGGTTAGGGTTGAAGGGTTTAGGGTTAAGGGTTTAGGGTTTAGGGTCCCGGACCCAAACCCTAAGCATTTCAGATTTGAGGCTGAGGCCCTGCCCTTAACCTGCAGCCCTAAACCCTAAACCCCAAACCCCATTTGGGGTTTAGGGTTTAGGCTTTAGGGTTCCGGGCTGAGGGTTTAGTGCTGAGGATTTAGCCTTGAGATTGCGTCACAACTCTTCCTACCAGCTGGAGAGGGTGCTTCATAAACTGTCCAAGCACACTTCAAGGTGCCCTGAAATAATTTTCGGATCGGATTAGAGTCTTAGTGTTATATTCCTTCTTTGGGTAAGGGCGGGCTGGCTTTCTCAGAACGAGCCTTCAAGGTTATACTGCTATACACTGCTTGAGCCCATAAAACCTCAAATCCCCAAGCCGTGAACCCTGCATCCCCATAGCCCCATACCCTGCACCCGATATTGATACCCGTATAGAAACATGTCTAGACGCCCTAATAGCACCTACGTAAGAACCCACATCTCCCAGAACCCTAAACCCTACACCCTAAACCTTCCCAAGGGTTCGAGGGCCCCCATACCACTCTTGCGCCAGGGGGCGATGGTGCTGGAGTCCAGGCCGTTCTCGTCATGCAGGCGGTAAAGGTCCTCTAAGGGTCCATGTAGCCAAATAGTATATACTTTGGCCTTAGAGTAGTTCCTATATGGGAAGGTCCTCGCAAGTTGATTGCAAGTGCAGTTCTGCAGAGATTGCCGTGTTGGTATGCCGAGTGTTGTTGAAGCAGTTCCTCCTTCCTGCCCCCCAAACCCTCAACCTTGAACCCAGACATGTACCCAGAGCCTCCAGAACCCCTTAATTAAGGAATATACCTTAAATTGCAATAGGGGCCCTAATAAGATTTAAGGTATATTCCTTAATTAAGGGATATTGGAGGCTCTGGGTAAACCCTGACCCTTCAGTCCTGTAAGGTCAAAACCAGCTTATCTTCAGATCGATTTGCTTCGAAGCCGGCTTGCAACCCCGCCACGAGCACGGCCCTGCAATATACCAAAGTATAGGATAGCTACAACGGCACAGAAGTGACTCTAAACCCTAAACCCTAAACCCTAAACCCTAATAGCCTAAACCCCAAATCTTAAACCCTAAACCCTAAACCCTAACTAGATGAACATGGTGATATCCGGATACTAGTTAGTTACAGTTTCCCCGGCTCGGGCGGGTCTTCCGGCTCAGGCTTCGGGCCAAAAGCTTTCTGCTGCTGGTCTGGCGTTTAGGGTTTAGGGTTTAGGGTTTAGGGTTTAGGGTTTAGGGTTTAGGGTCTAGGGTTTAGGGTTTAGGATTTAGGGGTTTAGGGTTTAGGGTTTAGGGTTTAGGGGTTTAGCCCAGAGCCTCGAATATCCCTTCAGTAAGGAATATACCTTAAATCTTAGTAGGGTTCCTATGGTAATTCAAGGTATATTCCTTAAGAAAGCGGTTGTGGAGGCTCTGGGAGAGTTTGCATTATCTTCCGCACACCATGCGATGTATATTCACCCCCGGCAACATGACATCGCGAGAACCCGAAACCTTAAACCTAAACCACCCTAAGCCCGAAAACTTAAACCAAAAAGTCGAAACCCTCAACTGGGAACCCCTAAACTTTTGAAACTCCTACGCCCTACACCCCAAAAGCCTAGAGCCCTCCAAGCTCTGCCCTAAGCCCTGAAACTCTTGAAACTCCTCAGACTCCTAAACCTCCTAACACACTCGGAACCCTAAGGGTTTAGGGCTTATGGTTTAGGTTTTCGGGCCCCTAAACCCTAAACCCTAAAAACCCGAAAAAACCCGGAAAACCCGAACAAAAATCTCCCAACTCCTACAAAATAAAAAGCAGAAAGCGTCCTGGTCGTTCCACTCGATAGGGATGTCGGACACATAGACCTCGAGCCGATACGGTGTAGTTCTCTGAACAAAACTCCCTTTGAGGGTCCTTTTTTTAAGGGCGCCGTACGATGTTTGGGTTATTTAGGGTTTTAGGGCTGAGGGTTTCAAGTCTTGCTTTTTGACAAACTCGCTGAACAAAAAGCTCGGTGAAACAACCCTAAACCCTAAACCCTAAACCGATGAAGTGCTGCCGAAAGGCCGTGGGCAGCACCTTGACGTGACGGGTGTGGCTGGCACGCAGCTCCACCTGATGACTTCGAACATCCTTTAGCAACGGATCCAAAGTTCCCTGAATATGTAACTAAGAGCCTGACGAATTCGAATACGGTTCGGGGGGTTGATTATAACATAAACATGACATGGAACCCCAAGGATTAACACGTTGTAACTCATTACTTGGGCTTCTGTAGCACACCCCAGACCGCAAACCCGAAGCCCCAAACTCCAAACCCCCAAATCCCCAAAGCTAATAATCCTCCAAAAAGCTCACGACATGAGTTTTACACAGACACTCGATGGAAAGGCATTTCGTGGAGGAGTAATTTTAGGGCCGAAACTTATCGCTGTTGAGTTTTTACCGGTTTAGGGTTTCGGGTTGGGTTTCGGGGCTTTGGGTTTAAAGGGTGGTCTGCAGCATTGGAACTACCTTCAGGACGCTGCTGCAAACACCCTCGTAGTAGTCTGCTTCGTAAATTAAACTTCGGCTGCACCTACCGCATTAAAGACTCGAAGCTTTGAAGTGCTTCACACCATGTCCAATGCATGCGCAAAGCTTTCAAGCCGCTCGCATGAGCATATGCTGCAGCCGACTCATTTCAACTCCTAAACTTACAAAACACTGAACTTCAGAGTTTCTGCAAACCAGACTCATCTGAAGCAAACAACTCAGCCACAGTTCCTGCACAATTTCGACTCCAGACTGTCGGCTTAGGGTTTAGGGCTTCGCAACCCTGAAGCTCTGCCACCTCTAGATCGTGACAGTCCCTAACCCACAAATGCCCAGGTTGCAAACCTCTAGATGGAAAATCTGGTCGTAGCCGTCGGATACAGCACGGCCTTGCGACCACAGCGACTCTGTATGTTAGTTAACGGATTTTTTCGGGGCAGCAAAGTTCAAAGTGTTCATGGGGCTGTATGACGTTCGAGTTTGAGGGTAACTTGAGGAACCTGAAGGTTTCAGACCCACGGAGGACTAGTAGCAGCAGGGGCAGGTACAGGAGTAGGTGGAGGACGAGGAGCACGAGGAGCAGCAGCAGCAGTAGTAGGAGGG